CACAATGATGCGATTATTGTGCGATAACAGGTGTTGGAAAGGAAGAAGAGGATGCAGAAATCATGGGTGGGGGGTGAACTTCAGAGGAGGATGCAAAGCCTTGGGCAGAACTTGTCGTCTTTCTCAGAAGTGGCTTTGAAGGTGCGCAGATGTGAGGGAAGCCAGTGGTACTCCAGGCTCTTATGCAGGAGTTTCAAGAGCAATGCTGTTTTGTAAATGGTTATAAAGCTGTTGATAAACCCAGAGCTTTTGGCTGTGAGGAGCTCCCTTGCCATGAGCTTGGCAAGGTGAAATGTGGTACAGGGTCATTGGAAAGTATCTGGTCATTATGATTCCATAATTAGACCAATGTGGTGTCATAAATAAAACAAAGCAGTTGAAGACTCCAAGACTTTCACCAAAAAAAGAGACTTAGTGAGAGTATCAAATACTCCCTCTGACTCTCCCACTGAGCAACTGAAGGCAGAGAAACTGAGTGTCTCCTCATTTCAGAACTGAATGTGCTTCTGGCTTCCTCAAATTCATCATGCTGCTTCTGGATGTGCTATTAACTTGTGAACATGTGGAAGGGGAGAGTTTTCTTCAGAGAACAAGGATTTCTGCCAACTCCTCTGTGCTTTAAGTGTTCAAAATCACAACCACCCTGTTGGTGTAGCAACAAGAAGAGGTGCAATGATGGCATTTGGTGCACAGAAAACTTCCCTATACTTTTTTAAGAAGGCATGGAATTTGTGTGGCATTTGTCTCAGACAGCCAGACATGGTGATTTCCTAAATTATCCATTTGACCCAAGCAAGTAGTACTAGGGTTTCTGTTGTGGTGGTTTGAAATATGGAGATTAAATGTAGCATGTTCTTGGTTGTTTACCAAGAATGAGGGATGAGATATCTGAGAGCTTGTGTGGATGCTGAGCCTTTCCAGGATTGGAGAAACTAAACTGAACAGTGCAAGCTAGATGGCATGGGAATTGAGTGAAAAAAAGAGGAGGTATGCCTTTAAGACGATGAGAAATGAAGGTCATCTTTGGCTGGTCTCCCAGATGCCTAGCTTGTGACAACATTAATAAGCAGCACAGAAAATATTGAAACACCTGTCTCCTTCCCTCTATATGGTTATGCAGCAGGTTGTGACAGCTTGTGAACTGTGAGGTGGCAACTTCCAACAAAGAGCTGCAGAGGCAGACAGATACAGAGGGCAATCCTGTCTTGCTGTTGTTTTGCAGAGACCCTGTGAACCAGGAGCTGAGAACTCAATTTCTATTTCCTTCCATTCTTAAAAGGAGTTTTAGCAGTGCACTAGAAGTCCGTCATAGTTGACATTAAGTGGGAGTTTTTATTCTTCTTCTGGTAAAAAATTTCACAGTAATTCCCTCCCCCATCACCTTTAGAGTTGCAGGCAGACCTGTGTTTTGATGATGGTTATATCCAGAAGGTTTATGCTGCTTTAATAAATGGTTTAAAATTTTGCTTAAAATACTTTCCTCTGCTTAATCTGTAATTTTCCAAAATAGTTTAAAATGCCTTAGGGATTTCATTACCCATCTTGTCTTTTTAGGCTTAAGGCCCAGTTATTTTTGATAGATAGCCCGTCTCACTGCAGATGTACTTTGAAAGAGTTTTTTTTGGAGAGGTGCTGCATACCTATACCCTGTAATCTCCCAATGTGCATCTGCAGCTGACTCTCCCTACTGCTTCTTATAAAACTTAGTTTTGCTGGTTTGGGGAAAATATAGACAGTCTGTAGTTGTAAAAGTTTTTGCCTGACCCTGAATTATTATTTCTGTTGCAGAGGCCTTAAGCCCTTTCAAGCCCAATACCCCTTTGAGGCTGCAATAAATCTTGAAGATATTCTTCAGTGTAGTCATGTCTGGTAGATGTGCTGTCATATGCCAATGTGAGAACGGAAGTCCTGCTCACATTACAAAAATTGACATTTTAGTGGTAAAAAACAGCATTTCACAGAAGCTGGAGAATGGGAGATATCTGTAAGTAGAAAAGTTAGAATCCCTTAGAACTATACTGTCATGTTTTGAGGCTGGCACTTATTTAGCTTACCGTCTTAAATACTATATACTTATTTAGCTTACCCTCTTAAACAGCCATACCACAAAAAGCAAAAAAATAGCTGTTAAATGAGAAAATAAATGCATGGGTTTGAAAAACCTCCAATTGAATTTTACAGTCAATATGAAGAGACTTTAGAAAGAAGTGGGGCTAGTGAGGCACAGTGTTGGGCGTGGATGTACCTGGGATCATTTCCAAGCAAGACCCATCTACTTCTGGAAATTTTTTTCTGCAGAGACCTTTGGTTCAAACCATACACTGAGCAGTCCCAGCATGGGCTGCCTCTGTGCCCATTTGTTGTTAGCTTGTTAGCTAATGGACCACTGTCCTCTCCTTCTCCAGCTCAGATCCTCGCTGCTGCTGCTCTCCTGCAGCCAGACCAGCTCTCTTTGGTCCAGGGTGTTCCTGGACAGCTGTGGTTGGTCTCACAACAGTGCTCACCTGGGGCTTGTCTTCTGCTGGAGATTGTCTGGAGAAGATCAGCACCAGGAGGCCCTGCTTCCTACCTCCACTCCTACTTTGCTAAAGAAGGAGGCTTGTGGAAGAGACTGCAAAGGTGGGATTTTGGATGTACGTGGCCTGTACCATATTACATTGCATTTCCTTGCTTGGCACAAGGAAAGGAAGTGTGCAGTCTGCTCAGATGTTTCTAGGTGTCAGATGAGGCATATTCTGCTCTTCCATCATAGGACTTGTGCCTTTTACTCTAAAAACCACCCCAAACTCAGCTGTAAATTAATATATATTTGTGGACCCCCTGAATAGGTACCACTAGGATTAAGCCTGACTCCAGATGAAAGCAGCTACCTTGGACATCAGAAGAGCTGTATTTGAGCTATTGATCTGTTAGAAAAAAATTGCAAAGTCATTTGAAAATGGTGAAAAAAACCCCATGGCTAGCAGTTGAATTCATGGTACAATGGCACGTAGCTTTACTTTCCGTATGTGAGTTCCCCTAGCAATAGTAGTAGTAATAATAATAATAATAATAATAATAAATGTTTATTTTGTAAACTTAAATATTTGAGAAGGTATTAAACCTAAACCTGACCTCTTCCAACTTGCTCTCCAGTTCTCTGTTTTTGGAGCTATGACAAGCAACACCAGCAAGAGCATGTTATATTCCAGCCCAGTGGTGTTTCCAGATGGTGCAACCCAGGTAGAAAGGTGGTCCACTGCAGAGTTTGTACCTAATAGATTGGATTACTTATTTGCAGCCAGCACCCCAGTTGAAGTTTATTCTTCACAACATACTTCCACAAAAATTAATTTAAAAATTATTTGAGACTTTTGTACTATCTTTAACGTATAATATGTGCTGATGTTCCTGTCTTAAAGCTTTATTATAAATCAGCTGGGACAGGGATTTTCACAGCTCTTCATTAATATGAATACTGGGACAAGCAGTGAATGAATAATACTCAAAATTTCAAGCTGATGGTTTTGATTACAAAAGCTCATCCCATACATAACTCTGTGTTTCTGAACATCTCTGAAAATCTTCTGCTTGTTACTTCTGAATATGCATGGAATGGAGATTGTAATTGTGCTGCAGCGTTGTAAAACTGTTCAATTTGTGAGTCTTTGGAATCTTGTGCATCTCTATCTTGTGCAACAAAAAAGGAAATCAGAACATAAAATTAACTTTTTTCCATCAAAATAGGACATAACAGCTCTTTTAAACAAGAGATGGCAAATGATATAGCTATCTGAAATTGCCTGTATTTGCTCTTCTATTATGTGCTTGTGGTAATTGAAATTAGGTAGAGGTTGAATACCAGCAGGTGTCTTAATTTCAATTCATTTTTTAAAAAATAAATCAGAAATGAAAGCTAAAAAATATGTACACATATGCTGCTAGGAAGGCATTTGACACACTTGATGCAACTATTACCTTTTAGAAGTTGTAAAACATTTTTGGCTGCTAATTATCCCCATTTCATGTATGTGAATAACAGCAGAGAATTAAAAAGTGAAAGTGTTTTGATACAACAAAATGTGCTTTATATGTTAATGTGAATTCCAGAAGGTTTTTGCAGCTTGAATGTAGTGCTTGCTGGGCAACTGCTGTTACTGCAATGAGCTGCAATAACAGGAGCTTAATAGTTAGCTTTGGTACAGGGAGACTTGAAGGAGCCAGGAACTTCCATAAAGCACAAGACAAAGGGGCAACTTTTCAGATTCTTTCTTAAATATAGCTCTTTCTGGCAATCCCAGAAGTTAAACAAGCACTGGATGTTGTCATTAGACTCTCTGGAGTGAGATTGGAGGTATGTGAGACACTCCACCTTGAGCTCCCATGGAGGTCAGGGCCAGAGAGCAGAGGTGAGGGGTAGGTGAGGTGGGGGTTGCAGCCACATGGAATTGAGTAATGCAGAGTTTGGATAACTCAGTCTATCTTGATATAATCCTGAGGGATGGGGCCAGAGAGGTGAAAGAAAGTATGAGTTATGTCAATATGGGATTTATCTAGATTCCTTTCAGGCTCTTGATTTTGGCTGTGCATGACAAGGATGTGCAGCCCCTCCTGTCTCATGCTGTGATTTAGAGCTGTATTCTTGCCTCTTGGTGTCTGTGAGGATTTTGACATGGGCAAGTTTTCCAGATACTTAATTTTTAAATTTTCTCTCTTTGTCTCTGTTTGAAAAAATAAATCTCTCTTGCTTGTCTTAAAACCCATTTGGATATTAAAACAGCCAGATTTTTATTTTCTCTCATCAAATAGCTTGCTCCAAGTACAACTTTAGCTTATCATGGGCTGCCTATGGATTGGGGATAAACTTGGCAACTGTATGGATTAAAATAACAGAGAAGAATGTCTCATAATTTTATGAATGGTTTACTTTGATGTTTCAGAAAGAAACCAGATTTGCTACATAGAACAGTTAAAAAAAGAAGCCAAAGGCTTAGGGGGTAACTGGTGAAGTCAACCTCTTCCTTCTCCCATAAAACATCCTCTGCTCGTCTGGGATTCTTCCTGAGATGGTGGTTTGCAGCCCTTCTCTGAATTGGACCTGTTTGCCCTCTGTGAGCTTGTTCTACCTGCTGGGAATAGGAAATTGGGTGGAATGTGTCCTGCAACTTTGGGGTAATAGTATGTTGTCTAGTGGCATGAAAATCAATAACGGTTAATATTTGTCATCAATTAAAAAAAATTACCTTCGTCCATTCTTCTGTTCCCATTGTACCTCAAATCTCACCAATCATGAGAGACACTATGGGTAGTTTCTGTGAAGAACAGCCTGGGAAAAACAGTACTGTTTGCACGCTCCTTCTGCCCTTCCATTCCTTACTGCAGGATTTAGCAGCTGAAGATGTTTGCCAGTAGCAATATTTGGTGCAAAGACTGCTATACTGTGCTTCATGGTGATAAACAGGAATTGACTCTGCACTAATGTATTTGTCCAAAGAAGAAAAATGAAGAGAAATATCATAAGGGACCTTGTATTTCCAAAACCAGCTCTGAGACACTGTGTACCCACCAGAGTGCTATGAATACTCCCACAGACTTAGCATGGTTTTCCATGCTGGAATGTGACAGGTGCCAGTCCTCTCTCCTATTGGCAGCACTGCCAGTGTAGCTGCACCCTGGTACAGTGGCTGTTCCTTCTTACACACAAACATACTTCTCCCTTTCCACTGGCACAGGGTCTGTGCCATGCTTTTAATGGAGAAAATATTTATTCTCTTTTCCCAGAGGTGGTGGTGCCTTGGTGTCATTTCCATGGTGATTTAATTTTGTTCATGGCTCCTCCTCGGTGCCTTGTCAAGGCTTTACTTGCAGCTGGCTTCAGGCCACCCTTGATGGCACCCATCTCTTGCAGAGTTAAGATGCCTGCATTGGGAATGGAGAGCTATAGCAGGCTGGTGATTTCATGAGGGGGGCTTGGAAAGGCACAGATCCTCCTTGCATGGAGGACTACTTCTCCTTCTGTGAGAAGTACTGTGGGGGGAAGCAAGAGTGTCTTTCGTGGCAGAATCCTGGCTCCTTGAGAGAGCTGTTAGCTCACCTGCCTGACTTAACCTTCCCTTGGTGTCAGCAGCTACACTGGCTATCCTGAGAGAGGCCAAGGACAATGGGGACCTGGTCCATTCTGCTCTCCTCAAGAAGTCTGTTGCCTGTTGTGCCTATACCAGGAACCAGCCCTGTGTTGGATACACTGTTGGTGTGCTGGCATTTGGTGCAGGCCCTCCTAAGAGTTTCCCTGGATCCTCTCATTCATGAAGAGTGATATCCATGACAGACCAGCAGCTGTGGCACAGTAGAAAGCCCCTCCTGGGAGAAAGCATGGATAGTTATGGTTTTTTTCCTACCATTAAAGATTTTCTTCATAATGAAGAATTACTTCTGTAAGTGGATGAAACTTTGGTCTCTTGGAGGCCAAGTCAGAACATCTGTCAGCCTCAAGAGCCTAAAAGAGCTTTTTCACCCCCCTCTCTCCTGCAACTTCTGCAGGCTTGATCTTCACCCTTTGATCTCCGGATCTACAGCCCTGGAAAAACAACAGTTTCATTGGGTTGGGGCAGAGCCCTCACATCTTCCAGGCTGTAAATCTGACTATTGTGTTTGAGCATTGCCTGTGATGCTTCTTATCGAGATTATTGTTCCACCCTTTCCTGTTTGGTTTCTTTCACAATTCCTTTTGAATGGGCTCCCTAGTAAAGACCCCATCATAAACAAACACATAGAGCTTTGCACAATGCAAAATAACATTGATTTCCCAGTTTTCCTCCCCAGCGGTATAAAAAATGCACCCCAAATATAAAATGAAAGGATCCCAAAGGGATGGAAATCATCCAAGAAAGTCATACCCTCGAGTGGCAAACTAGCACTGGTGTAGCTGAGACCCACCCCCGTCCAGCTTCCAGCTTTCCCAGAGTTTACATAAGTGGGAGAAGGCAGTGGTGTGCGCCCGCAGAGCCCCCCCATCCCATTCCTAGCAGCACCCCCCACTTCAGCCCTCAGCAAGGTCTCATGTTGATTCAGTGTCCTCTAGCGGCAAACCTGCGACACACACACGAGAGCAGTGGGACGTGGGGACCCTCTGCCTGGCTTCAGGAGAATCAGGAGGAAGCGTCCTTGAAGCAGATATCTTCGGGAAAAGAGGTCTACTGCACGCGTCATCCGAGCCGCGGGTGCAATGTGTGGCAACGTGTCAGCCAAGTAAGTCACAGTGCTACTGCAATCTGCTCCAGTCCTTGGAGTTGGACGTGCCAAAAAAGGCTTCTGGAGAATGCTGTCAGTAAAATACTTCAAGATATTGTTATAAGTGAGCAAACTGTCTGAAAATTTTCAGGGTTCTTCAGTATGAATGATTGAGATACTTTCTTAAGGTAGAGTTTACAGCTTCATGTAGGTGAAAGCGTGGCAAAGCTGTAAGAGTGAGATGGAGCCCCCAGCTTCCCTGCCATTGGCTGGGAGCCAGATTTGTGGTGCAGCAGCAGCAGTGCTCAGGGGGCTATCAGAATGGCCCCAAAATCTCTCATCTGTATCTCTGGGAATAGCACACTCATTCTTCATGTTTTTAGCATGTTGGCATAAATTCTTATCACATTCATGTGCCTTTAATTACTTAAAGTATCATAACAAATTGCATTTAAGGTGTTTTCATTGATCCCCAAAATTTTATTGCAATTTCTAGCTCTTTGTTTTTCCCCAGCCTCTATTCCCATCCTACCAAATTCTTCTGATCTCTGTTGTTGGAAGCCATTTCCTGATCTATGATTTAGTGATTTCAAATCCCTCCAGACTCGGGGTGTGTTTTCTGTCTGGAGATGGACTCTGGCTAAGCTCATTTCTAGTGGTGACATGAAGGCATGACTTGTTATTTTGGCATGCAGAACAAGTCGATAGAGAAATCAGATCAAATGGATCTCTGCATTAGATGAGCTTCCTGGAAAAGATGATGCATTTTTAGTTGTTATCACCACAAGCTCACAATTAAAAATATGTCATGACACTACCACTGAGGAATAATGAATCAGCTTCTCAGATAATGGAGTGTTTGTTCACATCAGAACACAACATTTTTGGTTGCAAAATGTCCCAGAATATCTTTCTGTGCTGTAAAACCACACATCAAACCTTTGGCCATAATCATCCCCCCCTAAACGTAAAATTGAGCACTGTCTAGTATTTTCCTTAAACAGATGCAGGAAAGACTTTTTCTTCCCCTCCTCTCCCTCCTCCTTCCCCCTCCTTTATTTTTTTCTGTCGCTGAAGGGCAAAGAAGACTCTATAAAATGTCTGAAGCTTTTCAGATGGCACTGGTTGGCTGCTTTTATTCACTGTATTGGGACAAATCAAGACTGCAAAATGACCTTATTTCTACTTCTGTTTGCACAATGTTTTGCATCAGAAAAACTGGTTTGAACATGTCCAACATACTTTTTTCTTTAATAATCAGCATTGTTTGGATAAAATGCTGAGGCAGTTCTTGGAGGTTGTACAGGAACCCAAACCTTGTCCCAGCCTTACTAAGTGTTGAGAACCTCCTAAGGCCCCCGGGACATCCTCACTCTCTGGTCTCAGTGAAATTCCCTTGCAAGGCAGAACCACTTTGGAAAACAGGCTTAAGGACTTCAAAATTAAAGGCTGCTCTTGGGATCCATCTAGAAGGGAATCAGCAGCTGCTGTACACTGGGAGAAACCCAGAACCTGACTCTTTACCCTGGTGAGGCAGGCAGAGGATGTGCTGAGGATGGCAGATGGTTTACCTGGGATGGTAAAACACCTCTGGTCTTACCACCAGGTTGGACCAAGCCACAGCTGTGTAAATACAGGTTTTCTGCCTTCTGCCACTTAGGGGTATGTTGTGACAGATGCTGAGTTCATGTCTGGCCATTGCCAGTGCAGCAATCATCACCTCCCTGTCACAGTGGGCTGTAGAAGTGAACAGTCTGACCCTTCTACACCACGTCATCCCTTCATGTTTCTCCCTTGCAAGGAATATCCTCTTCCAGTTCTTCAAACAGAGCATGGCAAACCGCAGCTTTGCCCATGTCGCTAAAAGCCAGCTCCTCATTCAGATGGTGCTCATTGCATTACCTGTGCTCCAGGAATGGATGGAAAAGGCAGGGCTCGCACTAGGAGAAGGCAGTGAGGCTGCTTTAGGGCTCCCCTGGAGGTATTTTGACTCAGATGCTCCTATTTGCTGCTGTACATGGAAGCCCAGGGGAGCTGAGAGCATCTGCCTCTGTGCTAACTGAACCAGGCTGCTCCTCTGTCTGCAGAAATAATGTTCCTTGTAATTCTTATCAATCTTTACCTTTTCCAGCATGTTCTTTAAACCTCTTTGTAGCTTCCTGCTCTTTCACCTAACTGCTGGCTGGGCAAGAGGCAGGACATTGTCTGTCTGTCTGGAGACATGGCCAAATAGCCAAATGGTCCAGAGGAAGAATGCTTGATTTAGTGATTTTCCTCTGGTGAAGATTTGAATCTCTTCTTTCTCTTGATGCTGATTTTCATGCAAATCTTAAAAACATTGATTATTTGAGGACTGTGAGGTCATGTCAGATTGCATTAAAACAAGCCAAAAATTGGTCCAGAAAACTGCAGGAAGAGCTGATGGAGAAAGAGAAATTACTTAATCTTCATTTCCATGGGAACCCCAGGCTAACAGGAAGATTTTATCTTATCAGTCCAATCTGAGTAGTGAAAATATATGACAGATAATGTGATTTGTGAAACTGCAGGCTGTGACTTTCAGCATGTCTTTATGCCCTCATGCATCTCCACCATCTACTCCTTGTTACCACTCAACCAGCAACCCTGGTCACGAATGTCAGCAATGCTGTCCCCATGACCCTGCAGAGAACAGCAGAGTAGCAGTTCTCTGGCCAGCTCTCACTCCCACTCACTTTGTGCATAGCAGGGTTTGTGGAAGCTCAACAGGGATGTGAAGAAATGTGTTTTGTGACTGGAGAGTCTAGATCCTACTTTTATGTGCTCAAATTATTTTGTTGTTGGACCAGAGTTCAAAAGCTCTCAAGGAGCTTTCCAATGGATCCATTGTGAGAGATTCTCAGTGAATTGAGGCACCCTCACGAGAACAGCACTGACGGACCATGATTTTAATTTGACATTTTGCTTCAGATTACCTAAAAAATTTGCTTTTATGTTCTGAAGAGTTATTTTGTAAGACAAATTAATAGTCCTGTATGGTTTTATGTTTCCAAGAACCTATTTTTTCCCCCCTGTATCCTAGATGCACCAGAATTTGATGCCTTGGAAGAAATGGGAAGTTTTCATGCTGTTGTACTAGTGTGGTGTCACCTTTCTTCTTGAAGAGACAAGGTGATATAGTGATAGTGCATATGCTTTCTTCTGAATAGGGATTTGACAAAAATTCCCACAATTAGCTATTCAGTAAACAAGGGGATAAAGGTCAGGCCTGATCAAGTAAATGGTTAAAAACCCAGAAGGATCTGACTTGATAACACATAGATCTGTCTTGAATGATGGTTTAAAACTATTTGTCTTCATAAGCTCATGTAAGAGGGAGTGAAGAAAATCAGACATTAATCTTGCACATGGTTTTTCTAGTTTAATGAAAATAGTGTGACTCACTAGTCAGATGGACCAAACTCAGCTACCCAACACAATGATACAACATCATATTAAATACTGCATATGCATGTGGAAAGAGTAATTTGGGCTGGAAAGGATTTTTAGTCACTAAGGAAATCAGAAGTCATTTTGGATAGCTCAGTGAAAACATCTGGTACAGAGGATCAAAGGCAAATGCTATTTTGGTTTGGAGTAGAGTGCTATTGAAAGTAATATGATAACATAATGTTTCAATCAATAGTGTTTGGTAGGTTGTTCAGTTTCAAATGTAGAGGCACAGCCAAAGAAACGCATTGGAAAGAACTAGATTTCAGAGGTGGTGGTGCTGAAGAGACAGGTGGATGCCGGGCCAACAAGGTGGCTGGGCTCTCCTCCTGGTACTGTTATTGGATTGTGGAACACTTAAATCAAGACACCATTTACTTATTTGCCATGAGGCAGGCAGTTGGAACTGCTTAGTTATGGCAGTGGTAGAGAATCCAGCACTAGAAATCTTTACCCCAGGGCTTGATTTTTTTTATTTCCACAAGAATTTAAGGAGACCTCTAGTGTATGCTGACATGAGGAGAGGGTACATAGCAATTAGGATCAAATAAGAGAGGAAGGAGAACATAAGGACAAAATGAGTGACAGTTTAGAGATTACATAAATATTCTAGAAACACATTTGAAGTAGAGGAAGAAGCATGCTGATTAATTTCTCACTGAGGAAGACTGAACTGGTGAAATGTAATAGACCCAGCAAAAAATATGTGCTCCTGGTTCATCCACATTTATGTAGCCAGATTATCCAAGTTTAAAATCACCAGATATAAAATATTTTGTCTATGTCTGAAGACTTTTTGTTGTCCTAGAAAGAAATATGTCCCATGTGTCAAAACTGCACCTGTTTTCTTTCCTTTGACCAGTTTACAAAGAATAAAATGGGTCTGAAATAATCCACATTAGGTTTTTTTACTCCCAGATTTCTGGTTCCAACATAATTTTACCCATGATGGGCTTTGTACATGTACTAGAACAGCAAACATTTTGATAAATTATTTGGTTTAGTAGGGACTGATGAATTTTATCATGATCTAGTGGAGAAATACAAGGCCCAAGTCGAAGATGGGTGGGGTTTACTGTGGAGAGTAGGAGAATTCCAAGTGAAATCCGTTGGGGAAATGTCAGTATTAAACTTCAGCTTATTAATTTACAGAATCATAGAATTGTTAAGGTTGTAAAAGGTCTCTAAGATCATCAGGTAAGAAATTCTGTGTCTAGTGAAGTGAAATCAGATATAGGATTACAAACAAGATGAAGGCATTTGTGCCATAACAAAGCAAATCCATGGGGATCTGGGGGCTATAATGGAGTGCAAACCAAACAGCAGTCAGCCATATACAGAGCAAGGGCAGGAAGAAAGAGTCACCAAAAACCCCAAAAGCATCACAAAAAGCATCATTAAGGTTGGAAAAGATCTCTTGGATCATTGAGTCAAACATGCTGCAATGGTTGAATTTACAACTTTTTATCCACAGTGAGCAAAGCCAGAGTGAGACCAGTGCTGCAAATGCAGTGGGCTAATATCAGGCCTTTTAAATGCAGTTGTTGCCA